CCTTCACCGTTTATCAGTGGTGTTCATTTATTATCTACCTATATTTCCATATTTTTTAATGAACTGCACTCGCACTTTATAACTGGCTGGAGTACGCAAATTGTAGAACCACAAAGAACTCATATTCACATCAAGAATCACATTTTAAAAATGAACTGTAATAAAAAAGGTCTAATTTAAATATCCTTTGAAATATTCCCATAGTCTATATGCACAATAGCATGCAAATATTACAAATTAGAAGCGTTCATACATACTGCAACAGTTGCAGGTTAAAACGGTGCAAAAGCGCAATGGCGCGTTGAAAGGCTTCTAACATTTTGCTGAGAGGCAGTTTTATAGTCATATGTGGGCCATGTACAGTCTTGCACAGTCGTTAGGACGTTACCACTTCTCTTATTGGGTAAAGTACTAACGTGGATTCAATATTGAACTTTAAAAACACTTTCGATGTTGCTGATGTATTTATTATAAATTCTATTTGTTTTTACATCTTTCTTACGTTGTTAAACACTAATTGCCAGCGGTTTCATCCACAAATTGTGTTATTTAAAGAATGTTTAAGTCATTCCTTCAGAAAAAGGTAAAGCAATGTCGTCACAAAATAACTATTTTTCGTCTAAAATATTGAATAAGATTTAACGAGAAAACTGTTTCTTTTTGGGTTCATAATTGGACCCTTTATCCGTGTTACAAAAAAGTAACGATTTTAGTAAAATTTAATTGAAAGATTTCGTTGTAATTCACAGGCGATGGCGGACTAATTGATTCGTAGAAGTAATGCGAAAATCTCGGTTTTCATCGAAAAGTGTTCACCGAAATGGAAAGAGTACTAATTAAAATCTCTGAATGAGATGGGCATGAAAATAATGGATAGATTAAATAGGATTTTAGTTTGAAAATCTCGATCAACTATTTTCTCTTTCATTCTAGGTATCTTTGGCTTACTATTAGATGCTCTTAATGTCTGCCCCTTCTTCTCCAAGTATAATTTCTTAAAAACGTGACTGCTATTTATTATCTAACTATTTTTTATTTAACTATGATATAAAGTAATCTTCTACTTTTTGTCCAGTAAAATGTAATATAAATTAATTCCTGAATACATTGCAACATTAGCATAACAAAGACTGCACTAATTCCACCATATAGTTGCCGCCAAGTTCGTGACCTACCTTAATGCTGTTGGCACGGAGAAGCTTACCTAGTCACGATGCAACTGCATTTTACTGCTCGTATAGTTTGTATGGCATATCTTAAATATGTTTTAGTATAAAGTCTAAAGTGGGTTTTGACTTTAAGTATTATATACATACTAGCGACCCGTCCCGGTTTCGCACGGATGCAATACGCATATATTATACATATAAACCTTCCTTAAGAATTACTTTATGTATTTAAAAAACCGCATCAAAATCCGTTACGTAGTTTTAAAGATCTAAGCGTCAGACAGACGGCGGATAGCAACTTTGTTTTATACTATGTAGTGATGGGCCGAAATTGCAGGGAGCCATTTGATGCAAGCAGAGATTTGTCGTTCAGCGTGAAGGATTAAGGGAGGCTTCCTATCCCGCAGTAGTTTTTCGGCTGGTGATGATGATATGGGCGAGGATTTTTTTTTAAATTAATACCAACTATAAATTTATATTTAGACAAATGAAGAAGGTTTTCTCAATATCATGACTATTATTCCCATTAAGTTTACATCCATAATAGAATTAGGTACGTGCGGAATTCCTTGGCTAAATCTTAGATGGTAGTGTTATACATGATCGATATTCCAATTTATGATTCTTAATACCGTATACTATCGACTAACTTAGTAACAACTCATAAAAGATACTAATATAGTTATAGCATAACTGCCTCACAATAGAGTAGTTTCCTAAATTTTATTTTAATGTCCGTCTGGTACATTAATTTAAAACTTTAGACACGTATTTTTTCTTTACTCACAATATTTAATACTTTCGACGAAATATTAATCTAAAATATCGTGTGACGTCACAGCGTGCCACATTTTGTAGCACGTTATGACGTAACGAACTCCCACTCCTAAACTTAGCGCCATTTTGTCTAAGTATTGCAACTTAATACGAGAAAATAAAAAAATACGTCTCTAATATTTTTTCATTATGTAACTGACGGACTAATTAGATTTTTAATTTTGATACCCTGGAAACTACCCAATTGTATTTTATGTTTAAAACTCATTACAACAAGTTTACCTATGACCTTCAATTAAAGCTAACATAATTAGACGGTCAATGACCCCCCGCTTCGTCTAAGATCTTGCACCGTTTTAAGGGATCTACCTGACGTCATAAAATAAAGGGTTCTCTTTATGATCCAGACGGAATTTAATTACGAGAAAATCGGTTTTTGAATGAGTTTTAGTAATGGGATGATAAAGAAAACACGACTGATTAAATTGGGCGAGCAATTGTTGAAGAAAGTAAATTTTCACGCCTTTTAACATAAAAATGTTTAATGTATGGTGTTGAGAAGTTTGCAAGTGGATTTGTAAGTCGTATTGTAAATTGACTCAGAAGTCTTGTTATAAATGATTTTTAAAAGTTTTGCAATAGAATTCGTCTGCCCTTTTAAAACATTATTAACGGTATATGTGTTTTTTTGAAAATCGTAGCGTAATCGTAGCGTAAAATTTTTTTATTGAATAAGCCGGTAAACGAGCATACGGATCACCTGATGGTAAGCAATCGGTGTCGCCCATGGACACCTAGAACCCTAAAGGCGTTACTAGTGCTTTGCCGGCTTTTTGGGGATTAGGAGCTTGAGGATCGTTGGAGATTCAGGAATTGGGGAGATGTGGAGAAAAGGGGATCGTAATAATAATCGTAGATTTTTTTTAAGGGCGGAAGATTATCGATTTAATGAGTAGAATTGTCTCACATTTTTTTTTGTATACTGGCCTTCGAATAACTTCTAGGTACTCTGTTAAAACTTATAAAAGATTCGGGCGATTTTCGCCAACCACATTAAGAAATCGCCAAAATATGAGATGTTATCTCAACATTAGTTTGAAGTGAACTCCCACGAATATCGCTAAGTACTTTCCAAGTCCTACTTATCCATTGGAAGAACTAGAGTGTGAAGATAACGAAACTAATATTAAGCTTAGAGACAAACTTGATAATCAAGTAGTCGGCGACTTGACAAACTGCACTTGTTGTTCACAAAACTAGCTACTTTGTAACAATGATAATTTCCCCGTGTTCGCACGTAAACGAGTTGAAAACTCGCTAATTACAACTTGCTATGTTTGTGATTATTATGTTTTTGTAGTTTTTTCTAGATATTTCCCCCTGTGCAAACGTAATGTTATAATAGTATCAACACTGCCTTAATATCAACTCGGCTTTTGTTTCTAGAAAGTGCGTTTTAAATATATTTGTTTATTTTATTTACACTTCTATGTATAATATACGATGGCGGAACCAGTTTGAACTGGTTAAATCTATTCCCAGTATTTTTTCACAATTGCATTGTATTGCAATTCAATACCATTATAGGCAATTAAATGCCAATGGCTGATACCCTTAATTCCAATCGACCTAATCGGCCTAAACATGGAATATTTGAATTTACCAACATTCGATGAAATTGAATGAAAATGCCCATTCAGTTGTATCAGTCTAATTTATTTGATCCCTATGGAGTTATAAACTGGACCTATCTGAGGACACAATTAACAAAATTGTATCTGTGTTTTATCTCATATTATACGCAGTGAACTGTGAAAGATACGACCAGGGTTAAAAGCGAAATTTATTACTCTATAAAAATGTTATAGGTCCATAAAATCAATCTTTTAATTGGTACACAAAAAATTCGGTGATTAATGAAAATAGCCTTTGATTTGTGATCGAAATCTGTATCTAACTGAATGAACCGTATACTTGTGTATATTGTTCAAAAATAAAAAAAAAAATCTAGATATAAAATTTTGTTATAGTCAAAGTCAAGTCAAAGTCAAAGTCATTTATTTTAATTAAACTGTCAAACACCAAGCGGTCACCGGTGACCGCAACCTATTGTTCTATAATTGTGTCTACAAAACCGGTACTCGACGAGTTAATCTTTAAACTGTCAAACACCAAGCGGTCACCGGTGACCGCAACCTATTGTTCTATAATTGTGTCTATAATGACGGTACTCGACGAGTTAAACTGTCAAACACCAAGCGGTCACCGGTGACCGCAACCTATTGTTCTATAATTGTGTCTATAATGACGGTACTCGGCGAGTATAAGCACTTTTGAAACGTCAAACATTGAACTATCTGGCACTGAAGCAAGGGGCTCGTTCCAAAGTGTAGTTTCGAATCGAGATGAACTAGCAAAAAAATCCATCGTTACTCTTTTAAAAAGAAAATATGATTTATTAAATTCCTGTATTGGACTTTGAAATTTATATTTTCTTTGTATACACAGTCTTCGCGTTATGCCCAATATATCTATCTATATAAATAAAAATGAATTTATGTTCGTTAGTCTCGCTAAAACTCGAGAACGGCTGAACTGATTTGGCTAATTTTGGTCTTGATAGGTTCGTGGAAGTCTAGGGAAGGTTTAAGAGGTGAGAAAAAACTTTTAGGCGGTACGAAGTTTGCCGGGTCAGCTAGTTTGAAATAAATATGCTCCTGCAACAGACTCCACTGAGTAATGTTAGTTTTAAGCACTGAAATTATTGGGTTTACAGCTCTGAAAACTCATTACTGCTCTCAATTATTTTAAGTTAAAAACATTACCGTTATAATATTTCAGTCACAAAAATTACTATTAATGCCTGTATGCATCAATACAAACAGGACATGTCGTGACACGTCACGTCGAAAATCCCTGATCCGTTTACTGGTGATAAAATATTTTTGTTTTACCTTTAAAGGTCAGTTTTCAATAAATCATTCACGTTTTGGTTACGAGCACTCCGGTATAATCCTTTTAAAACCCTATAAATGGAGAAGAGTTTAAACGAACCTGAGTTGAAACCGATACGCCGGGGCTGGCGCCGCCACCTGCAAAAAAGAAAATACTCTATTAATATAGTCACAAAATGCATTTCAGATTAAAACATTTACATTTTACGTTGAGATTAAACAAAATAATTATTTGTGCGTCATTTATTTATATCTAAAATTTTTTTTCAACCGAATTGTCTCGTAAAGATCGTCATATAATTAGATTCGTTGTAGTTGCATAATTATAAATTATTATGATGTTTTTGTAGAAAAGTAATTAACCTAGAAATACTTTATTCATTAAAACTGTGTTAATCTGTTTAAGCCGAAAAGTGCATTACCTTCCCTGAAACCAGATTAAAAGCAAATTGCATTATAATAATTAGTATCGGACACTAATTGATCACCATTATTATATTTTGCTCGCGCCAAAACCTTTCGCAACAACGTTTTAATTTAATTGCATGAGATAGGTATTATACTAACTATTAAAATTACAATAAAAGTAGACTTGCTAAAATTGATGTTCTGAATCTGTGTCATGTGTATGTGATATTGTATATTTGTAAAAGCACCCACGACACAGGAGAAAATCCTAGTGTGGGGGACAACGGTTAAAAAAAAGTCCGACACTCCCTCTCGCCTCACCCGGGCGAGAGAAGGTATGGTTCTGGTCGGGTCGCGAGCTACCCATGCTCACCGTCCGCAGGCCCGTGCTTACGGTGGCCGGAGATCGCCACGCGGTCCCCAACGCCCGGAGTGTCCTTCGCGACGGCTCCGCTGTGAGGAGGCAGCGCTTCGCTGCCTTACGTGTCCCGCCTCCTCCTTAGATAGCATGACCTCTTCGCAAAAGGAGGAGAGGGCATCCCAGGCTACTTTATGTACCACAGGAACGCAGTCGAAGTCGCAGAAGGTAGTATTAATATAATTGTAAATGAACGTAGTCCTATTTCAGAAAACGATACTCAAACCGTTTCCATTATCCTAGAGAAAATATTGACTGTCACAATGCCTATTCCATTCTAGGTTTACTTTATTAAGTTTGTGTGCTTGAGGAAACCCAATATTGTCTTAAGTAACTAAATAGCTTGGAGTGTAGTAGTTATGGATCAAAGACGGCATGTTTCATGAAGATTCGTCTATATTTTGAAAATTGTCATCTGCTTTGAACA